CCTCCCACCCCCTCTCTCTTTTGAAATAGGATCTCACTCTGTGGCCTGGCCGGCCTGAAAATCACTATAGACCAGGCTGATTTCAAACTCACAGAGATCCACCTGACTCTGCCCCGAGTGCTGAATCTAAAGGTTTCCGCCATCATGCCCAGCTCTCCCTTTTTTGCTTATTTATAATTTTGTTTTGAGATACATTCTCATGCAGCTCTGACTGGCCTCAGACTCACTATATATCTAAAGATGACCTTAAGCTTCTAATCTTCCTGATTCCATCACCCAGGTGTCCTGGGATTATAGCATGTACGACCACACCTGATTTAGGGAGTGCTGGATTGAACCCAGGACTTTATGCATGATAGGCAAGCATTCTACCAACTAAGCCCCATCCCCAGGTTTATTTATTTACTATTGGGAGATTTTTGTATCTGTGTGTGTACACATGTGCTCATGCACACACATTTGTATAGTACATGTGTATGTATATTTGATACACATGTATGTTTGTGGAGGCCACACTGAATTTGGAGCTCACTGTTTTTTGGCTAGGCTGGTGGACAGTGAGCCCTAGTGACCCTCTGGTCTTTACCCACCACAGAGCTGGTGGTGCAGGTGTGAGGGTGTGGGGGTGTTCAAACTCAGATCCTCATACTTGAGCAGCAAGTGCTTTTACCCACTGAGCCCTTTCCCCATCCCCTACCTTGTTTTTTGAGACAAGGTCTCTAACTGAGATCTGGGCTCCCAATTAAGCTAAACTGGCTGGCCAGGAACCCCCCATGGATCCTCCTGTCTCCTACTCCCCAGCACTGGGATTACAAACACATCACTACATACAGTATTTTTTAAAATGTGAATATTGGGGATCAAAATCAGGTCCTTATTCTTTCAAGACAAGCACTTTATGGACTTAGCTGTGTCTCTGGCCTCCCTCCCTTGAGCCCTTATTCAATATTGTTGGGTCTCCTTGCTTCTGCTCTCTCATAGCACCTCCCCAACCCTTCCCTTTCTACCCCAGGCACTGTATGTCTGATATGTGCACTGGTTGGGACCCCAAAGAAGAAGAAGAACTGCGCTGCCAGGTCCTCAGTGGCTATGCCATCATTTGCCAGGAGGCAGGTGCCAACATGACTGGCTGGCGGGACCAGACACACTGTGGTGAGGCTCTGTCCCTGTCTGGCAGCTGGCCCTGACTCCTCTGCCATCCCAGCCTCTGCTCTGCTCTGCTCCCACCATCACCTTCACCATGGCTTCCAGTCCTGCTCTTCCATCCCAAGTTCAAGACAGCAAGCAATTCCAGCCGGACCCTTACTCTGGTTCCTCCTAAGAGCCTTCTCTCCCCCACTGTCCAATCCCATTCCACCTCCTCTCTGCCTATCTTTTCTGTTACTGTGTTTTCTTTCCTTTTTTTGTATTTGTGTGTTTGTGTTTTTGTGGGAGCATGCATGTGTGCATGTGGAGACCCAAGGACAAGAGCCATTTGCCTTGTTCTTTTGTTTTTGGAGGGGGTTTACATTTATTTATTGTGTCTATGTATGTATATATATATGTATGCATGCATGCCATGACTCATATGTGCAGGCCAGAGGATAACTTGTGGGAGTCTGTTCTTTCCTTCCACCATGTGGGTCCCATAGATGGAACTCAGATCATCAGGCTGGCCCCAAGCACCTTTACTCACTGAGCCATCTCACTCTGCCACCTTGTTTATTGAGACAGGATCTCTCACTAGGATCTGGAATCCAATGATTAGGCTAGTCTGACTCCCTGGTGAGCCCCAGGCATCTGTAGATCTCCATCTCCCCAGAGCTAAGATTATGAGCGCATGCCACAATATCTGGCTTTTTATGTGGGTTCTGAGAAACAAACTCAGGTCCTCATGCACCGGCAGAAAGCACTTTACCTACTGAGATATCCGTCCCTCAGCTCTCTGGTATAAAAAAAATAACAATAAGAAATTTTTTTTTTTTTTTTTTTTTTTTTTGAGACAGTCTTACTCTGTAGCCTAAGCTGGCCTTCTTGGCCTCAAACTCATGGCAATTCTCCTGCCTCAGCCTTCTGAGTGCTGGAATTGCAGGCATGTGCCACCACGCCCACCCTCTTACTACCCATCTGTGCCCATCTGTTTCCTTCCTCTGTTCTTGTGTCCCAAGCACAATTCTTCGGGCAGAGCTAGCCTGCTCGTCCTAGCTTCCATGCCTACAGGCAGCTCTGTATTCTGTTGGATAACTTTGTATCCCCTTTCTGTTTTGAGATCCATAGTCCCTATATCTGTTTGGTCCCAATGCCAGCAAGCTCCTAACTATGCCTCTGTCCCTCTGTCCTCAGCCATGACGTGTCCAGCCAATACTATGTACCAGAGCTGCATGACACCTTGCCCAGCATCCTGTGCCAAGTTCGTGACCCCTAAGATCTGTGAGGGCCCTTGTGTGGAAGGCTGTGCCAGCCTCCCAGGCTATATCTACAGTGACACTCAGAGCCTCCCAGTGACACACTGTGGCTGTACCACCAATGGCATCTACTACAAGGTCCAGACAGCGGTGGGAGGCCCTGGGAGTCCAGGTATATAGGGAGCCAGATCTGAGATGAATCTAGAACTTGTCCTCCCCTTACTTCCTCTTTTCCAGCTGGGTGACAGCTTCGTGACAGAGGATTGTTCCCAATATTGCACCTGTGCAAGCCAGGGGATCCTGCTGTGTGAGCCGTATGGATGCAGAGCTGGAGAGATGTGCACTGTGGGAAACTTCACCCGAGGCTGCTTCCGGGGTGAGCCTGGCTCCCTCTGGTCCCCTTCCTTGCCTCCCTGTTCTCTGCCTGGGTGGGACTCCTGCATGATATCAGAAAGTCTGTGCCTTCCCTTTTATGAAGGGGTGAAGGAAAAGGACCCCATGTTGCTAAGCATCTGTCACCTTCATGCAGAGCCCTGCCCTCAGGATCATCTTTAATTCTTACATAGTGGCAAGCATGGCACCCCACTTTATGGGTAATGAAAATAGGCTTCCAGCTCGGTGAGATGGTGCATTCCCATAATCCCAACACTTAGGAGGCAGAGCTCTGCGAGTTTGAGGCAAGCCTGGTCTACATGGCAAGTTCCTGCCCAGCCAGGGATACACAGTGAGACCTTCTCTCAAAAAAAAAGAGGGGAAAAAAATAGGGTTCCAGGGTGGGAAAGACAACTCAGCTGATAAAGTGTAAAGTGTTTGCGGCACACGCATGAGGACCCGAGTTTGATCTCACCTGAGTTTAACCTCTAGAACCTATGTTAAAAAAAAAAAATACACTGGGGCTGGAGAGATAGTTCAGTGGTTAAGAACACTATTCTTCCAGAGGACCTGGGTTTGAGTCCCAGCGCCACATGGCAGCCAACAACCATCTGTAACTTCAGTTCCAGGGGATCTGACACCCCCTTCTGACCTCTGTGGGCATTGTATACATGTGGTACACTTACACACATGCAGGCAAAACACTCATACACATAAAATAGAAAAAATAAATTGCCAGGTGTGGTGGCGCACGCCTTTAATCCCAGCACTTGGGAGGCAGAGGCAGGTGGATCTCTGTGAGTTCAAGGCCAGCCTGGTCTCCATAGTGAATCCAGAACAGCTAGGGCTACAGGGAAACCCTGTCTTGAAAAGACCAAAAAGTAAAAAATAAATAAATAATATTTTTAAAAGCTACACCAGTGTAAATGTCTCTGTCTCACAAACGAACACGATGGCTAGCACCTGAGAAACAACACCCATGTGCACACACAGACAGAGAAAATAGAAGTCCAAGAGGTTAAGCATTTCTCCAAGCCCAAGGATAGCAGGTTACAGCCAGGCCCCAGTAGCTGCTGCTTTCTCCCCTGGGGTCTAGCCTGAAGACAGGCATCTCCTGCACTGCCAGTGTCCTCACAGGACCTACTTACACCCTTCTGTCCTTGCAGACAGTCCATGTCTCCAGAACCCCTGTCAAAATGATGGCCAATGTCAGGAGCAGGGGGCCAACTTCATCTGTCACTGTGACCTCGGTTATGGAGGAGAACTCTGCACAGAGCCTGAGGACATCCCACCCCGCAAAAAGCCAGGTGATGGCCACATCCTGGGCCTGTGTCCCACTGGCCATTGTAGTTTGCTTTTGTTTCTGTGCAAAACACCAACCAAAACCAACTTGGGGAGGAAAGGGTATATTTCATGTTACACTTTCAGGGAACAGTTCATCTTTGAGAGAATCAGGCAGGAACCTGGAGGCAGGAACTGAAACAGAAATCATGGAGGAACACTGCTTACTTAGTTTGCTTCCCTTTCCCGGCTTGCTGAACTATCTTTCTTGTATATACCAGGCCTGCTTGCCTAGGGATGGCACCACCCACAGTGGGCTGGGCCTGCTCACATCAATTAATTTAAAAAATGCCCCACAGACTTGGCCACAGGTCAGTCTGATGGAGGAAATTCTTTAACTGAGTTCCCTCTTCCCAGGTGACTCTAGCTTGTGTCAAGTTGACAAAAATTAACCAGCAAGCCATTGCCACATAATTATTCTTTACGCCTAATGCTAATACATATTACAATGTATGTTATATATCATAAATATAAGTATGATATTGATAGATATAATATACAATATATTATTCATCCATCACAAAACATATTTCACAGAGCATATGTAATATATCAGGTGACATGAATTATATACTATGAATAT